TAAAAGTTGCCGTCATGTCGAAAGTAAATCACACTGCTCAGTCCACTTGCTTGTAGGTGGTTGGTTTTAAGAAGTGGTCAGAGCTTACGACAAAATGACTTTAAAGGTCAAGCTTGTAAATTTCACCGAACGCTTTAGAATTAAGATTTCGGCGCGAACATTGAGCGAAAGAGATCATTTATGAGGCAAAAACCGTCTCAAGACAGATAGATTGACAGACTCATCACTGAAAACCTTGAAGGGTACTCTTGTCAAACCTCTGCCTCTTCAATGGAAGTCAAATGATGCGACTTCCTATATTTTACCTATATACTAATTGTTTCCCACCGATTTTGTGGGGAGAATCAAAAATAGTGGCCACTTTTAACCTCAGCTGTTGTGATCAGCTGATTCCACTGAGTCATGGTTGCTGAGTCCTGGAAAATCAATATTTTTTGCAAGAGCTGAACATTGGCGTCCACAACCAGCTGATTGATCGATACGCAGTCAGCTTGCATGCCCCTGGGAGAGGGTGCACTGGACATACACCATTTTCCAAACAAATTAACCTTTTCCAGCAATTGTGAGAGGCAAAAGTACAAATTGTAAACAAGGGACGCATCAACTCACCTAGTAGAAGGAGTTTGACCTCTTTTCGTTGATTCCGCTTGTCCCGTTGCAGCTGTCTATCGATTTCTTTGTTCAAACGCTGCTGCTCCACGTACTCCTGTGAGAAACAGCACATGCAACACGAGAGTAGGTTGCCCATGGCCAATCTGGGGGGATTTTGGGGGAAGGCAGAGATATTTATTAGTGTTTTCTTTCCGCAGTCATAGCAACGCATCAATTCGTTATCAGCTCTGCCACCACCCTCTGGAAGTCCTTACTGAACAGAGTTCATCTTCTGCGTGCGTGCGCAGGTGCCAGTACCGTATTAACCAATCAAAACGTGCGTATTGTTGTGCCATGAAGAATAATTTGCATCTGCGCACAGCTACTTTTACTGAACTTTACTTCTCAAATCCATTCCTCCTAATCGCACAATTAAGTCTGGGCTGTTTGATTTAGTTAATAAATGCAAAAAAAATCAGGTGGAAGGCAATTATCTTGCCGCAGCTCAATGGCGTCTGTTGACGTCAACTGTTTAGTGGATCTATTTGTGTTTTGGTGACGGAACGCAACGTCTGAATGCCAATTGGAGGATTATTCAGTAATCAGTAGATCAAAATCCTCCTGTTTTAGTCATCACAAGTTATATGAATGGAAAATTAAACAAAATAATGCAATTTTTAGTGGCGTTTGATATCCAACCGCTCCTACGTCTTAGGTTGATTGAAGAAGTCCAACTGCATCATGTTTGCTTATGACTGTGTATATGGTTTTTCAGACGCTTCATTAAATTTTATCTAACTTACTGGCTAGCACTACAACAAAAACATTTCCTGCGGAAGTTAAATCATTAAGGAGGCAAAAGTGGTGGGCGCAAAGTAAAAGACCTATTAATGGGGTTCTGTCAAAGTATTTTTGCCTAAGTATTAACTTTAATATACTTGTGGGTATCAACAGCTTCTCAGAACAGAAGACGACCTTGCTGCTAACCTTCTCAAGGATACATCAAAATAAGAACTACAAAACCTTCAACGGTCCATTCATGGATCAAGGAGGCTGAACGAGAGGAAGTAATTTATGGCTAAAATGCGTCACACATTCACACACTCTCTCGATCCAGAACTTGGCAACCGTTTCCACTATCAAGATACTGATTGTTGATCTTGATATAAAAAGAGGAATCATGGTAGGATTGGTATTAATTAACCACGACTTCCCCAGCTATGGTAAGAGACTTTTGTTTGCAACAGCGTCTCTGTTGGAACTTTGAATGTGGAGAGTTGGATGGCACAACTAAAGGGGAATGTAGTTTTAGATTAAGCGCATTACTTTGGAATGAGTTGTTTGGATAGGGATTGAGGTGCAGAGAATAGGCTGATGTATTAAGAGTGGATAAATGGATACTGGATGGAGGGACGGATACAAGAGGTAAGGGTACGTAATGGATGGATGAGTGGATAAATTAATCACGGATAGACACCCTGAGCAGTTCCAGATGACTTGACACATATATGGACTCACGTATGAATAAATTAACGAGTAAGTAAATGGACGGATATGTGGATACCTGATTCGTTCTACTCCAACGGAGAGCTAAAAATTTTCTCCCTAGGGAATTTTTAATTCTTATTTATCCTTTCGCACATGGGTGCACCAATCGTCCTCTATGTTCACCATAAATAAGTCCTGAAGCAGCACTGACCACCGAAACTTTAGGTGTCTATGGTCCTAGCAATTCCCCCTGCCTGTCTTCACCATGAAATGGAGGTCAAAAGGCTGCATAAAGCTTCCCATTTCATTTATTCATGTACTGTTAATTGTAGGTTCTTACATTTCTCCGGGGACGAAATACTTCATTTAATCCTTCATTCACTCATAAATTCATTCAATTAAGCATCAATTTTCCACAGAACTGTCATTTTGGCGTTCGCTATTTTAAATCCTACTCTAAAGTGGGTATGCGGAGTTCAATGAAGACGAGTTGAAACGGATCTAAGGACCCTTATATGGTAATTAGATTCTTCCACTAATGATCAGCGTGAAGTGTGCATTGGTCTCTGAAAGTGTACTTTTACTTTGAATGAGAAAAGTTGATCCAGGATCCTCGAAACTACTAAGTGCCCATTTTAATGTGATTCAAGTCGTCGAACGGTGGATTTTTCGCTTGACACTCAATGTCTGTAAATCAGCTGCATCACGAAGCGTTTTCAACAACGCTTTAGTTAGTCACATCAATGGAGAGGTGATGGATTTTGTCTAGATCCCCGAACTCGACAGTTGACCTTTTGGGGAATTGACTAAACGTAGTCCACTTGACACTGTCTCAGAGAAGGATGGACTACCACAATCACAGTCCTTTATATTATCTTTGCTCTTTTAGTCCATTTCTCAAAAATATGTCACATGCCTGTGATGTGCGCCGCTAGGTAGAGATCTAGGCGTCACGTATATGTGACGTCAGGGACAACAGTTATGATAATTGGGAATTCATCTCTTCGAATGGCCCATGCTAGTCTTGATGACATGGAAATAACTCAGATTTCACAGACGTGATAGAATTCATCCATACACTTGGAGCGGTGTTAGTCTACACCACCCAGTGTTTCTCACGAGGTGCCCTTAGAGTCTGCCTGCAATCTAGCCAGTGGGAATAAAACCCCGATTGAAGTGTAGGTTCTTTGTAGTTCAGTATGAACGATGAAGTCCTCAATGTCTCCCAGGAGGGAACAAAAGCAGTTACTGCCAGTAATGCGCTTAAATGCTGCGTCTTTAACCTGCAAAGAATGGCTAAAAGGGAGTCATTCTAATCGTTCAAGATGAACGAAATTGCATTCAACACACCCGATGAAACACAGGATGGCGAAGATTGAGTGGTTGATTGGATGCTTTATTCTTCCACCCATTCCTTCTCTGAATTATTCTTTCAAACACTCCATCATTCATTCATTCAAGTCATTACATTCCCTAACGAAGAAGTCGTGGATTGAATTCAAGGGAAATCCAGGGGACACCTTGATTGATGACAGAAAAAGGCAATGAAAAAGTTTTGTAGGTTGTGTGCTAATCAGACATGCTGCCTCACGATATCAGGTAGCAGGTACGCCAGCAACACAAGAAAGTGGACGAAAAAATTGCAGTATTTGAAAAAAGATTCAGTATCTTAGGTAATTTGACATTGATCCAGGCAAAATACTCGCTGTTCAACTAATTTAAGTATTTTATTTCCCTTTAAAGCAGAGGAACATAGAATCACTCCATTTCCATCCCAATTTCCACCTAGTTGGAACGCAAAATTCCACATGCCAATTTGACTTGGGAAGAGGGCGGTGTCTACGCTGCTGTTGCCATGCCAACCGAAAATTGCAGCATGGGATAATGCACTTCATTAGGTGTACGTTCAGGTAGCTTCCACCAGTGCTATGAGTAAAATGTAAGTAGTAAATTGGAGGGTCGTGGAAATAATGTGGCTGTTGTATCCCCTAGAATACTTAGTCCCATCAAATGGGTAGATTTTCTGCCCCTCCTTAAATAATGTTTTAAACTAAAAGAGCAATTAATAAAAAATTATTTTGTGGTATAGATGGCGATTAGAACCACATTTTTATCGGAAAATAGTGTAATAGGCTAGAGGTCAGGATGGTGGAGTGACAACCAATCAAATTTGCCAAAATATGACCACATTTGCCATCTCCATAACCAATCAGGTTGTCGCAAAAATTAATTTTACATACTACTTAAAAACATGCTTTGAACACCACAACCTTTTAAATACACTAACGTGTAGGAAAAAATTTACATAAAATATTTAAATACAAAAACGTTTTTGTAGCAAAACAACTCAGATTATTCCGATTTTTTCAAAAAATTGTTTATTAAAAAAAATAAAAGAAAACTAGGGATTATTAATTTACATTGTAGGCATCTTTACATGCACGCCTCCGGCGTCGGCTTTGTGAGCAGTCGTCGGAGGTCATCAGGTGGTGCCGCGTCGCCACGTCGTCCACTCCGGGGCGACTCCCCGGGGCTTGGGCCGCAATGCCCGCGGTAGCAGCCGCGTCAGCCAGCGCGCCTTCTGGGCGCTCTATGCGCTGGTCCCTCTCCCGCAGCAGACAGTCATGGTTGCCAGTGTCCTCAATGGGGGTTGCAGAAGCCGCAGTTTTGCACCAAGAGAGCAATTCCTGCATCCGCTACACAGACCCGGAATATTGTAAGTTAAATCGACTTTTTGAAGTTTGCTATAGACCATTTTATCTTAAAATATCCTTTTAAGTTTCAAATTAAGGGCCACCTGTGTGATATACAACATCAATTTTTTAGTATTCCAAATTTCATGCATATTTTTATTTGTTTTAATTGTCTCAGCTAAACGCGGTAGCCACAAATGCGGTGGCGTCTTAAATGTGATCGTGGCGATGTCTTTCCAGTTTTCTCTCTGTGGTATCGTATGCATTTTTATGACATACGCAGCCGTCCTCTACTCTGATTATGTTATTCTGTTCCAACTCATAGTCCCTGTGTTCAGTTACGGGTATGATTTCTCCCGCCTTTTTCTTATTGCCGGTTCTCGTTAATAAACACACTATCATTGACGGTCATATCTTGAATAACAGGATAATACTAATTGCCTAAACTTTTTAGTGGTTTACTTTGCCATTCTGGTCTTTCTTGCATAGCTTGGTCTTTTTCTAGAAGGTAAAATGCTCTTAGTCACGGTGGCCAATTTTCCAGTGACTCGTCGATGAGGCTTGTGATTTTAGACAAATTCGTATTTTCATTTAACTTAAATTTTTCGCATTTATAGGGTGCGAACTTTCTCCCTTTTCTAGTGCCGTAACTCTAGTTCTCACAGTTTACTACAACGTGATCGTCGCCCTACTCATCGTGTCGCACATAAAATCTGTTTTCACTGATCCTGGAGTTATTCCCCTCCCCTCACGCAGACACAGTCCTCATGATCTCCAAACCCTAAAACGCAATGTAAGTCATGTTTTGGTCTTAAGGTCCTGCTCTCATTTGTGCGTAACTCGCAACCTGTCAATTTACTTGATTTGGTCATTTCAAGGTCAAGACGATTGAAGAGCTGCCGATTACTCGCGTGATTTTTAAAGAAGTTTTTAATTGCACTATCAGCGGCTGGCAAAGCACTGAATCGGAGTTTGTTTCGGCGTCGTAAGAGGTCTCATAACCAAAGTCTTAAAGTGTTCCCCCCTAGAGTAGTAATTCGTGTTTTTAGAAGTTCTGCAACTAAATCTTAGAATTCGTCTCATTTGGCCTCCACATCGCAAACTCGTAACTTCTGATTGAATTTTTGGTACTACCAATTTCGTAGAACTTTAATGGAATCATTTTATGGTCAAATTAGTCGATTAATACGATAAGTCGGCTGTTAAAGGAGTTGAAAGCTCTGTTTCATTCTAAAAGTTTACTTAAATCCTTCAAGAACTTGTTTAATTCCTCAGTGCCTTTTGAAGTTTCAATGTTCCACCACGTTAATGTAATCTTGATCACGTTTGAAGGCGATTTTATTCATGGAATAAGATGAGTCCAATTTTGGAAGATTTCCTTGGCTTCAGACGGTGGTCTGGAAATGTTTCTGCCACTAAACATGCTTAGTGGAAGTAAGTTGACATTCACGAAATCGTGGTCTTCGAGCCCCCTTTGTGGACGGTTTACGGATCATTTCTGGTCGGAACTTTAAATGAACTCCTAGTTAATTTACAAAAGTATACAATCCCACTTCTATAAGTGGTCTCTCGACTGGTAGTTACAAATAAGAAGGAAGATACTTTTGTATCAAATTGGTTTCTAGATACTCCACCGTGTTAGCTGAAGTCCAATCCAACTTGCTAGAGGCGATTTAGTCCATGGAATGGCATATTTCCAGCTCAAATTCCTGACTTGCAATGCATCGTGAACACGAAATTTTAGTTACAGAATACTAACCTATCTATAAGATCAGGGAGCCTTCCCTTTTGTGGTATCTAGCAGTGTCACGTGCACTAGTAGTTTTCCTCCTCCAGGAGTTGGGATTAGAAACAGCTGGTTTTTTCTGTAAAAAATTACTTATTTTGCCTAGCCTCCTTTCTCCCGTTCCTTTGATTTTCCCCTTCTCTTCCCCTCCAAACTCTATTCCGTTCAAGGCCGTGAGATTATTGATGCAGACTGTTTCCGTCAGATTTCGGTGCTAATTATTTATTTGGAGTAAAAGTAGGTAATACTGTAAATCATAATGGTTGGTGCTACATGGCTAGTCGTATTTCGAAACCATTAGACAAAATCAAGAAATCTGCACGTCAATGAATGAATTATCTGATTGGGTGGGTTGAAGATATTCCCGATCACTCCATAATTTCAACTGCAAGTGTGGTGCCGATGCGTTGACAAGAGGCATCAGTGCAGGAAGGGAAGCGCTTTTTTCGCAATACTAGGTGCTAGGTTTTTGAGATTTGGGGCTTTAACCTAGTCTCAATTTGATAGTTCCTCTCCTTCTAGTATACGGGGTGAAGAAAAGTAGGCCAGTCGGGGGATAGATGAGCAGCTGGTGAAAAGGATGGGTTAATTAAGCCAAGGTAAAAAATTAAGTTCGTGTCAATTTGAGGAGGTAATCAGCATTGTAGTTTACAGCCTTTTCTCAACGAAAACATTCAAGTTTGATAATTGTACTTGTAAAACATCTTACCAATAGAAGCAAAATGTCATCCCCAGTCACCTCCGTTTCTATCGCACTTTGGCTTTTCAAGCGTCTACTCTGCATATAATCCTGTGATTGTCAAATCCTAAGCCCAGGAAAAGTTGATAGTCATCACTTGGTGAAGTATGAGGGCACACAGAGGATGCTGAATGTAAGGATGAGTCAGTGCCTCCCTTTCGTCGTCCTCTTCTCACATCACCCAGTTCCTTTCGTCCTCTTTTCCCCCCATCCTAAAGTCAAGTAATGTGATCTTTCCATGAGTCAGGTACTTTAGCATCAGGTTTTGAGTTGTCTCATGGGATTAGGCCTCTCTTCCATCAAACTGACTGGCTGACTGCCTGGTTCCAGAGGTTTCTGAAGAGGAAGAAAAGGGCGTTTCTTGCACACCTTCAACTTGTATTCTATTGAGTGGGTGGGTCCCAGCCGTAATCGTTGTCTGTATTTCAGCAGGTCATTCGGCGGTTTGGCACTCCACCCACACAAAGCAAGCCTAGGCACCACCTGCGCATGAAGTAGTGCGTGCCTTAGAATTGTGGGATGAATAGTGTAAGTTGCGGGTTGTTTGGGTGTAACCACGGGGTTGTTACGTAAACTTAGTAAATGTTGGCTTACTGAAGCCATTCCTCACCACAAGTCACACAGTCGGTCGGTTTGGTCAATCAATCAGTGCGAAATGAAGAATACATGGTGTGTTTTTGTAACTTATGTGGGAGAAGTGAAAAACCAAGGAATGGTTAGCAGTTGAGGCCACTTGTCTGTCATCTGTAAAGGTGGATGAATTCGTAGCGTACGTTTGCTCAGTTGCTCCCAGTCCACCACTCTCCCCATGAAGTCGATACAGGTACAGTCAGTCCCATTGTTTCACCCGTTACACCTCTCATGTCACTTACGTCAAATATGCGCAAAAGGAGAAGGGGTTCTTCTGAATGTGTATGGGCTGCATCTGTCCTAGGCTGAGCGGGTGCCCGATCAAACATGCGACCGACAGACGAGTGGTTTGCGGGAAGTGCGCTATTCAACCGCTTCGTCCTCTCTGAATGCTCTGCAAAAGAATTGACGTAATGTTAACGTCTGTAGCTGTGGAATCGAGTTGAACTGGATTTGTGAATTTGAATAGCTTGATCCACATCAGGTTTATCTGAGATTTTATGGTTAAAGTTTCAACAAACCACAATCAGGAGCCCCTCGTTGACCATGCCCGCATACAGTTTCATGGGGTATAATTAATTTTGTACTGGAGCTAGGTCCAAAGTGGATGGATGGAGGGATGAATCCATTGTCGAATGGAGGATGGATGATACAGCTGATGATCAGTTGGGAGGAGTTTATTATTCGATAATATCTTTCTATGACTTTCTCCCTCCACAGTATCCCGGTGGCTGGACGATCTGTCGCAAGTGTTCAACCCTAAGACCACCAAGGGCGCACCACTGCAGCATTTGCAATCGTTGCATCCGAAAAATGGACCACCACTGTCCTTGGTAGGTCTCTTTCCGGAGTTATTCACTTGGTCATTTGTCTACTTTTTCGCTCAATCGTCTATTCCCTATCCTATTAGCACTGTAAGGCACTAGTTTATTAATATACAACTCAATTTATCCCGACTCTATCCATTCATTTATCCATCTCTTCAATCTTTTTGTTTGTTCTTGGTGCATTTATTCCTCTATCTATCTTGGGTCTATTCAACTTCCTTGGCTCCAATCCACCCATTTACGTCCTTTATATCATCCACTGCGTCATTGCTTACCTCCATTCCGGCTCCACTGATCTTTTAAGTCATCCATCTGCTGGGTGTGCTAACAACCCTCAAAAGACGTTCCTTTTTTTTGAAGTCCTGGAATTTCCTATTTTGAAGTTTGGAATCCCTTCTCTTTGCCCCTCATTCCCAACAGTCTAGAGGCACTCGCGGTTCGCGCTCCTAGCAACCTCTATTTTTCAGTCGTTTGATAAGACAAGTATGGCAGAATTGCGTCTCCTCATGTACTCCGAGGGATACCCACAGCAACTAGTGTAAACTATTAACCATCTGTGCTTATCTCCACACAGTATTAGCTCATAAAAACCGTCGATGCAGTAACTTACAAAGAACACAAGAGTGCCTTGTTCAGTAGATGCTCGGAATGATACTTTGAAATTTCTGAGAGCGCATTTTGTCCGAATGGAAGCCAAACTGGTGGCGGCCGTGATCCGAAGCCTCAAAGTCCAGTGTACACCACAATTGGGCCAGAAGCTCTAATTCGTGGTTTCCATTGCCAATAACGTCACAGAGTCTCATCACACTTTAGGTTCTAATTCCACATGTCAAACTAAATTCCAATCTAAGTTCATTGCTGCCGACAATGGGTGGAAAGTTTGAATGACTAGATTTGTGAAATAAATCATTTTCACTCACCGAAGTCTCCGGAAGGCATAAACCCCTATGACTAGTAGCCTTTGTCGTCTCATCTGCACTACAATCGCACGGAATTCGACAAAGTTTAGTTTTGAAGATTTTGTGACTTATGCAAAAACAGTCAATCTCCTGTACCATTTCTTCAAACTGAGGGCAATGACTGACGGCCAATCAAAACGCCCCATCTTTGTCTGCTGATTACATTCGTCCACCAACCCGAACATTTACGCTCATCCCCCAAGCAAAATCAAGGAAAATTGGCCTAGCAGCCAACGAACCGCACTGGCCGAGTGTCAGCGCTTGGACAGTCTCAAGCATGACTTCACTTTAACCCAGTGCGAGGATTAAGGTGATTTCCAGGTTCATGCCGTGGGACAATCCAATCCTGGTCTGCATTTTGACGCTAAGACCGAACCACATTTCTCCCATCTGGTGGTACTACCGGGCCTGGCACCTTGTCAAATTCCGTTCCCATAAGCAAGACCGGTGTTGCCAATACAACACGGTTGGTCACACAAGTGTGGGCTCCGCCCATCCAATTCCAAGCGGAACGCAAATAAGTCAAGGAAATGGAGTCGCGTTAAACCATGGGAAGGCAGCCGCGCACGTGGCTCCCGGACGTACATCACCATCTGACTCAGTGGTTATTCATTGGACACCTCCTCGGAACTGATGGTGATGTTGATTCCGCGGTGTTGACTGGTGCACGTTGTGGTTAACTGAAACTCTCCCAACAGTTACAGAGCGCTGTGGTATTTTCTTTTGTGAATCCACCTCGACCAGCCGTAGTATTAACAGTGACCGTCCGTATGGGTACTGTTCGTCCCCCTTAGTTTCTGATCACACATTGATTCGTCCACATTCCAGTGTCCGAGCTCTTGCATGAACGCCAATGGTATTACGTAAATTGAATAGCCTCTGTGTTTGAATATGCAATTATAGTGGATGTTTATTTGGTAAAAAGATTAAATGGCGAGCTAATATTTGTCCCAGGGTCATGTGACAGTAATGACCTTTAAAGGTACTTTTAATTAATCTGAGCTTTTTTAAAGTACGTAGGTGATTTTTTCGGTAGTCGATGTCACTAACGTTAAGTGTTTAGAAGGAGAAAAAGCAAACCAGGTGTTTGGTCAGTCAGTGCATGAATGGACGCAGGTGTGGCTGAAAGGTTCCCTTCTGACTTGGAAGGCAGACAAGTTTGGCTAATCTTGAGGGCATAAATGCGGAACAGAGATCTAGGTCGAATTTGAGGTGGGAATGCTATTTTGGAAGCAGTTGTGTAGAGATGAGAGTGAAGGAAACGGCAGATACCCTCCAGATCCATTCATCCATCTCGGTACAATGCCTGAGCACGTGTGTTTATTCTCCTTTGTGAGTAGTGGCTGAGACACCCATCTGATGATGAATCACTGCAGTTTACCGGACTTTTAATCGTCCAGAATGAGGACTTGGCAGGTTCTAGGGTTCCTTTATCCTTTTTTTTCATTTCTCATAGTCTTGGCTACAGTTGGCTGGGCGTTTGAAAGACCTTTGATCTCATGCATTAAACAGATGAGTTTGTCCCACCGGGTACACGCAAACACACCATCTGCCTTCACCCGGGGTATGAAAGAAGCCTGTTCCTCTATTTGTTGACTTACGCTCCAACGATTTGCCTCTTTGTATTTTTCAGGGTGAACAATTGTGTTGGTGAAGATAATCAAAGATACTTCCTTCTTTTTCTCATCTATGTCGGTAAGGCATTTTTTGGAAATAATGTACAAATAATGGGGAGTTTTGATTTGGACGTATGATAATAATCTTGATATCGTTCATTTGGGAATGAAATTTCTACCACAAGTCGAAGATTTCCTCTCCATTAGGATTAGTGCGAGATCTTGTGAGCTTCCCGTCACGTCTGCAAAGTTCCAACTGCTCTATTCAATGCCGAAGTCATCATTTTTAATGATTCTACCAGATGGAGAGAAAAGTTTGGTTTTTGTTAATGTTCAGCACAATAACCAATTGCGACTGTAGGACTTGTGAAATCCATGCGATTGTTTACACTCATGCGTCATAAAACAGGTATGGGCATCACTCCATCGCTGCCAGACTGCGTTGCGTTCTCTCTTACCCTCCCATTTTAAGCCCTCATTCATGAATTTGGTGGAAGTTAGCCAAGCTTGTTCGCTTTATGATGCGAGTTTAGCGCTGTTTCAACGTTCTAGAAACTGTCTCCCTGTCCACTCTTTTGGCAAAGATGTGGGATGGTGGAAAGTAAAAACAGCGTAGCCCACGAAGGAATTGATATTGAACCGCTCAAGGGTGGATGGGTTACATGCGGGATTTCGTCGGTCAGTACACGGATGCGCAATGCAAACAGGTGATGTTAGTCAATTCTGAGCCCATGAATGCACGGTAGTCAGCTGCGTGCTACGTTGGAGGCAGATCTTGATTGAGATCAAGGCTGTGGTGAATGGCGCCTTGAGTGTTGAACTTAAAGTCTATTCATCAGTCCATTGATCCATTTACCCCTCTCCTTCCGACCGTTTACTCATCTTTTTACTGATCGTCCTCCCACTAATCCATCATGCATACGCCCGCATGCCGATCCATCCATTCCTTTGAAATAAAACCACAAAAATGAGACGATGATAATGAATCGTTGCACCATACCTCGGGAAGGCTACTCTTGAGCCCATAAACTTTATAATGGCTGGAAGGTCAGAGGCACGGATGGCGATTCATCAGAATTTCACCATGCACAATATCGTCGTAACCTAGTGGTATTGTCAATAGTCAGCCATTACTGATACCCATGATCATCTTTGTCTGTTTATTTTGCAGGCTTCAGCTGCATCAGCTGTCTCATCATCTTGACGGTTTGTTGGGTGCTGGACTCCATGCGCCAAGGTGTCAAGGGCGGTGGTAACATCACCAGCGGCGACGACGTTTACAGGCAAATTCGCATGTGAGCTAAAACCCCCCTTCTATCGCATCATTATTGACGCCAACATTAGCAACGATGGTAGAAGGTGTTGTGGAATTTGGAAGCTTCCATCTTTTTTGGGTGGGCTGAAGATTCAAACTCCTCACGAATAAATTTTTTGACGATTGTATAACCCTCGAACTCAGAGACCTTTTGCGTCGTTGAAATTTGTAGCTGGATGGTCAGACTAGTGGAAGAATATTGGGAGCTATTTCAGTGGTTTCTTTTGATGTACTTCTTGAATGTGGGTGTATTTCTTAACGCCTTTCAATGGCCCTTGAAAAGTAAAATGTTGGAACTGTTAGAACCATAAAAGCTGCTTGTTTTGGGGGTAATACCGCATTGACCTTGCGATACTTGAAATGGCAAATTTAAGGTTATTGACTCATTTGAATAGGCAGAGGTCTCTTGAACTCGTTCATTATCTTGACAATGAATTTTATCACAAGCTCTGACTTCTTTTTATCTATGCACTTAAAGTGTCGTCTTATGTGATCCCTAAGTTGTCTGAACTTATCAAACCCCTTGTGCCTTGAAGGTCATTTAATGCCAAGTAGCTGTCAACTAGGTATTCTTATTGTTCACTTTGTTGAAGTAGTTCCTTGACAAGCGAGTGTTGAAGGTCATTTCACTGTTGATCTTGCATTTTTTTGGTGCTTTTGACAAGGTGGTACATGGTTGAGTTCAGAGCTCTAAAATGAGTTGTCATCCTCAAGGTCATTTCTCCCCTGAATGTCATTGGTCCATCTCGGGTATTCAATGCAAAATCAGAATTGGAGGTAGAAGTGCTGGGATTTACCTCTTTTTATCTGTGGTTTGCATGTAATGTGTCTTTTCCTTTCTGTTAGATGAAAAAATGATGAACATTTGAATGGATGGCCGGCTGGCTGACTGACTAGACGGTTGGATGAGGGAATGGTTGGCTGGCGATTAATTAGACGGACACTTGGTGGGTTGAAGGTTAAATGGTTGCATGGAGAGGTAGTTGTTCTAGAGGATGGTGGATTCTGTGAATGCATGTGTGAACAGACGGTAAAATTGACTTTTGGAATGGTGAATGACTAGACAGACGACTGGCTGGATGGATAAATATTTAGGCGCTTGAATGGAGAGACGGTTGCATCAATTCTTGCCCAAGCAGATGTAGAGACAAACAAGGAAATAGTTGGCATTATAAAAGCCGAATGATTGATCCAGTAACTGGGTAAACAAACCAAAGTATTTTATGTTTTGTTTTCATGGCTCCTGAGAAGTTCAACAAACAGAACAACGGCACGCACTAAAGGAGGTGCTGCTCGTTTGCATAAAGCGTAAAGGAGAAGGCGGAGGAAGGTGGTCAGCATTTTCAAAGAATTGCTTATTCTTGTGTGAAGACACTTGCACCCAGATGCACACTTTGACGCACCACCACGTGTGTGCCAGTACAGTGAGTAGTTGAGGAAAGGGCGCTTGCGCCTCAAATGCTTCGCTTCCAAGGTCTTTCATTGCATTGCATCAGACTGTGAAGAGGGTTATGCTTGGATTTTATGGTACCCTGTTTTATCGTGATTGTGCAGATGCTTGATTGAATAAATGAATGCGTGAAACGGTTCAGTCAATGCCTTGGACGATGTTTGGTTGGATTGATGGATGGCTAGAAGACTGTTGGGATGTCGGCATTTGAATTAATGAATGTTTGGGTGCATGGGTGGAAAGATTACTCAATGATTAGGTGTGGATGGTTGCAGACACAGTCGAATTGGGGGCTGGGTAAGTTGACGAATGGGTGGAAGGCTAGACTAGTAGGTCGACGGATGGATGCCTGAATAGACGAAACGAACTCTACTAGACACCTAGATGGGCAGATAAACAACCGACAACCGAATGCGTGCATAAGTGGATGGATGGTTTACTGGTTGAATCAGACATTGACGGATTGTTAAGTGGGTCGGTAAAAAAATTGCCAGATAGAATGATGGACGGGTAGGCGAAGTAATGGCTTAATGAACGGTCGATGCGATGCGGAAGTCATTGAAGGACCGGATGGAAGATCAGCATGCACGTATACAGGAAAATGAAGAAGTAGGCGGGGAAGGTAAGACTGCTTTGTTCTGTTGATGGTTTGATGGATTGGGAATTGTTAACAAAGTAAGTGGAAGGTGGCTAGATGAGTTAATTTATTTGGCATATCGCCACCTACCTTCTTCATAAGCTGAAAGGCACAATTTGGCCTTTATTGGCAAAGAAATAATCGTGTTGTGCTTTTTCCCATTTATTGCAAAAGGTATTTTAGGGTTGACAAAACATTAGTATCGGCTTGTTGATAAACTGCCTCCTTTCTGCCCTTTTGCTTGTAGAATTCACTCCATTGTTCTCGTAGTAATCTCCTGCCTCTTTGGTCTCTTCGTCTTTGCGATCCTTTCAGATCAGGTAAGGAAGGAACAGAATTCGTCATTCCCCAGAAAACGCTCTACGTCTATTTAAAAAGCTCCTGTTGCTTTGTAATTCAAGTAACCCAGAACTGATGAATACAAAATGCATGGATGCAGTCTACTGAATTTGCCTGGAAGTAGTGCTTTCATCCTTTAGAAAAAAATGGTTTTTTTAGGCCAGAGATATACTTCCAGGCCCGTTTTTATTGTGATGAATGGGATGGGTAGATTTGCGTCGTTGTGATGCCGTCTACTTAAATCATTTGGGAGTAGTACCCATTACCACCTGGTGGACTGAATTATGGTTTAGATATGTTTCTTTGAGGAAATAAATTTTTTAGTTTTGAGTGTGATCTACCTAGTTTTTTAGCAGTAGCACCTACAACATGCTTCTAGATTTGAAAAAAGTCGCTAATCTGGCATTGGTTACCTGTAAATTCTCGCTATTATAAGGGGCAATACATTTTGCACCCAGCTCTCCGCCATATTCAACGACGAGACGGCAGTCGAACACGTCCAGCGTGTCAATCCGCGTGTTGATCGTGGACAAATGCAACGGCTGTTCAATAGTGAAGAAGGCGATCCGGAAATTGGCGGATATCGAAAACTCTCGAAATACGAACTTCTGAGTGATGTTTGCGGTCCTGGTAAGGGCTCCCTGGATGACGTGATATTCAGACTTGATTGGCTAGTAATCACTCACATTGCGATCTTTTTTTCCATCGTTCTGTCTCCACAGGTCCTCTGTGGCTCTGGCCCTTACCTTGTCTTCGTCCGCGACGTCCGAGAACTTTCAACTGGTCTATGGATGCGGTAGACTTTCGTGGAGTCGATTCGACAGGAGGAACAGTGTCACCAATCACAGCAACAATTTGTCCTTCTACTAAGTACTCTGTCGATGTGTCGGCAAATGTACCCCTTCTTAGTGCCCTTCACGATGCAACAAATGAGGCCGATGCAGTTACTTCGTTAACACTTAATAACACTACTACTCGTGTTATTTCAGCAACCAGTTAAATATGAGCAGCAAATGATTATCATCATTTGATCCTTCTCTTCTTCCTTCTGTTGCTTTTTTCCTTTTTCTCAATTTCTTCCCCGTGTAAAGTTCAGATAATGAAACTTGCTAAATACCAGCTAGAAGTCCTGTTCTTTTGGCTCCCATTGTCGAGGTGGGGCGGTTTGGATCCATCTCAGCACCTTTTCAATTATGCCAACGGCTCCAAAATCCTCCCTTGAAATTGCCGACTTTCGAGGTTGTTCGTCTTAACTTTGGTAAGTCGGCTAGTTAATTTTGAGGTCTTAAGTGACTTCCGTTCCATTTACAATTGGTGTAGGTGTCTTGAAGCTCCTTGGCTTTTTTTGCTGTCCTTCGTGTCGCGGTGTCCACGCCCAAGATGAAGTGCCATCCGGGTGAACTAGGACGCCCTAGTTTTATGCTTGATTGAAAGTTTTAGGTGAGTTTTTTTTGATTGAAAGGTGGACTGTTGAAGGGAATCTCAATAAAATTAAAGATCTTGCAGAATCATAGGTGTTGAGAGTCATCCCATCTTGACCCTGGATAGGTTTAGTAGAGTTTTTCTCGCCTGAAATTTCGATTCAGAGTTCAGTCCTTGAGGCCGTTTCAATGAGTTTTCAACCATCATAGAGACCCTTGCCCCTTCATCCAATGAAATATGACTTAACCAATCAACTCAAACCGATGTAGCGTTTTGTCTTGGCTTGGCGTCCACGATTGTTGTTGTCCTGGCTGCTAATTGGAAACGGAAGGAGAGATAAGGAGGCGCTCTAGAGACCACCTCATCCATCCCTCACTTGTTGGAGGCGTCATTCGATAGAATTCCTCCCTTTATCTGTGAATTTTTTCCACAAACTGGGTCGACGTTGAAATCTGTTTCACGTTCTACGTAGGATATTCTAGCTGCTGCGACTCAACACCCGAGATGTCCTCCTTTTTCTTTCTTATTCGATCGCATCTCTTTGTGATTCAGTTGCCATCGTCCCCTGCTGGATAAATGGATGGCGGTTGTTGATGAGCCAGGCTGAGCATGGATCCTGTCGGGCTGTCAATCCCAGCAGAGTGGTGTGGAGAGGAGTAGAATGTCCACATTTTAGAACCTAGGCGTAAGTTCACCTACCTCGATCTCTGGAACCTCCCTCCATCATACCCAATCAAACAGGGCCAACTGGGAGGTAAAGTTGTTCGTCTTCCTACACAATTTCTTCTATCCAAATCTGCACGAAAATGCGCAGTCAATTTGGCCAAAGGGTAATGTGTTTTCGCAGTCACACTGCACTACACTACACTGGTCTGGATTTTTCACTTTGGGATAGAAAATAATGCACACCTACACATGAGGCGTTTTTCTTGCACTGATATGCATAAATAAACAATTAATGCACACCTCTTGTTTCAATTATGCTTCTCCCTCGCTCTCTCCTCTCACTCTCTCTCCTCCTCTCGTCCTTCCTCTCTCTTCGCTAATCGTGACCAGTTCATCGCATGCACGAGTAGGGGATGAGGGAAGACAGTCGAGCAGTTGGATGGGTGAGAGTGGACTCCTCCTGGAGAGCTACATTGCCGTCAGTGGTTGACAACTTGGCAGTCTCACGGTTTGACGACGTAATTGTTCGATTTGGCAGTCGTTGAATCTACACATCACATGGATGGATGGTTGATACATCATTTGGTCTATTCGGTGCCCGATAAAACATGACAGTGTGCTGGAGGCCCATTTGTTCAAAAACCACTTCTCGGGGTTAATATCACCTCGTCATGATGCCAACATCATGAATAATGCTTTCCAAGGACCCTGATCCCTTCGACACCGTCTAGGTAGGCATCTCATCCAACTTCCCCTTTCAACAGGACATCCAAGTGGAAGATCTCTATTCAATAGATTTCTAAGACGACCTTTCTGGATGAAAGGGGCCGTGATTTACAGAGGTCACAAAAGTACCAAAGAGTATTCTCCAACAGGAAAAATCAGTGGAATTCGTCGACGTGTCTATGAAGGTCATATGGGGGGATAGTCTCAGTTTCCTCTAAAAAATAACAAGGGGATTGTTTGTTTGACAAGTCATTAAAAAAGTCAAATAAACAAATTCGGTGTCGCGTTTAACGCTACGATATTTTTCACTCAAAAAGTGTGTTAAAATCTGCTTCTTTATGAAGACTACAAACTATAAATTGGCTCTACAAGAACGGCCCAACGCCACCCCAGCCTCCCTGATGTAGAGGTGAAGTGATTTAGCGACAACACTGGCCCACTTTCTGAATTTTTTAACGTTCTTTTGTTATTTGGGTTTACCTTGGACACTACACTGTTCATCCTCCTGAGGGGATCGCTCCACGTTTTGTCGCTTCGCTTTCTCGTTCTTTGGTGGAGCCTTGTCCTTGCTAATTGGAAACATCTTGAATCGAGATAGGCTAATGAAAATGCAATCACTAACTCTTCCGATCCATAAAATCGTTATTGTTCCCTCGCTTTATCGCCAATCTTCGTTTCCTTCTAATGAGCTTGCTGCCTCGGAAAGATCCACCGTCCGAGCCCGCGAAAGATATGTCCCATACCAAGATGCACTCCTGAGTTTAAGAACCTCCTACGCCTTGTTCATTGTTGCTAAACCATCTAGTTTGTTCGCGACGTAGGTTGGCACAATCAGCTGGGCTCAGGTACAAAAACCTTGACGTCACGTATATGTGACGCTGTTGAAGAACGTCTTTTTAACAATCACTGGACAAGTATTTCCCAAAAGTTGACGACTTTTTTGACTAGCAAAGACGTTAAGAATTATTCTTTTGAGACTGGAAGATTCACAGCAACAGCAATACAACTTGTTTCCTGTATCAATGCTAGAGCGTTCTCTCCATCAGGAAATCCCTTTATCACTGCGCCTATTGGGTGAGGAATTTTAATGAGTGATTAGGCAGAACCAAAAAACATTTTTTAGCAATTTGTTTTGGCCAGATTTGACGGGAGGTGAAGCTTGAACCCTCAGGTAATATGGGGGTCATTTCCGCCTTCTCCATATTAGGATCAAACAAGGAGCTTCTAATTTCCCCCGTCCACCATTCAAAAAAAACCTTGAAAACCAAAAAACTCTAATAGTTTTCCTTTTTACTCACTTTTGACTAGGCTAAACATTTATTTTGCAGAAAAAAAAAAGGAGAAGAGATGCTGCTGTTCAAGGATCACCCAGCAGACTGGCAAAAGTGAGTCACCAAGCGGAGAAAGAAATTTTACAGGAATTATTTGTTCTTCTGAGAGTGGTCGAGAAAAAGTCAAATGCGTTTTATAATGCAAAGATTTCGGAAGAACGTTTTTATTTGTTTTTTTTTGTTTTCCTTCCCCCTTTTCTTACTTGGAGAAAGGCAAGTAGCCAAGAAATTGTGCCTTTAGTTTCTAGGCAATTACACTTCTCTATCCCATTTCAAAATGTGTTTCTTTCCCTCTTTTTTGAAAGGTAGTGCTTACTCCCCTCGGAATTGTGCTTCCACAGTTTTTTTTAATCATCTGGCAAGTTAGTTGAGTGGTTGCGACTTCATTCCCCCATTTTAAAGACGGTAAGGAAGAGATGTTTAACACAGAAAAATTGACATTTTCAGGAGGAATCACAGAGCCTCGAGTAACCAACACTTTCGCCTCTCCGCTAACCTCGATCGAATATTATCTCAACTTTGAAAGGATGTGCGGGCAATTCATGGGGTCTTTTAGAGAGTGCGTTGCTACTTATTTAGTAATGAGTAGCAATTTGCCACCGCAAAGTGATCTGTTGACTAGTCGACGGTGAATGCATGTGGCTGCTGTGCCATCGAATTTTAGGCGGATAAATGTAGTTAGACGGTGAGATTAAAAGAAATATATTTGACACAAATGGATTGCTTCAGTTGAAAAAAGGTGATAATTAAAAGTACTTTACCTGTTTCAGTCAACAAGTACCCATTAAAGCTAAAAAATTAAACCAAACATAAGACATCAATAAAAGACATCCTTGCTCTTTCACTTCAGACAAATGTTGCGACTAGCATATACCCCGTATCCGACCAGCCATCCATCCATTCACTGATCCTCTTTGCTTTCGATAAATTTTTCGCAATAATTAATGTTACTTAACATTCTGGAGTGGTTAAAACACCTAGAAATGCATTCAGTCTTTTTGGAAACTGACGAAATCAATGCTACTGAATAGTTTTGCGTTTAACCTGACGGGAGAAACAGAACATAACCGAAAAATGACTTATTTTTAGCAGGCAAGGGTGACAAGAGAGACTGTGTTAAAGGGCTATTCTACAAGTAGAAAGTGCAAACTTGGAAGATGGAAGGCAGAACGCACTCGAAAGTTCAGTTTTGTAAATGTCAACTATCAGTACATCCTTGGCCCTACATGGGAGGGGATCATTTCATTCATTCCTTTATGCATACATTCATTCATTCATCCGATCAGCAACTCACCCACCCATGCATCTACCCCTGATATGAATAGCCTCACTTAATGTACCAAGAAAAGCATTCCTCACATCCATTTCTTCTACCTCACCTTCTTTTAAACTCGTGCAACATCTTCATCTTCAATTTCAATCCAGCCCTGTGAATCAAGTAAAGGAGAAGGGAAAGGCGAAAACTGGTCCACAGCGTTGGGGGTAGAGGCTTCAAGGAATCATCATCTCGACAATGTAGTTTGGAGATTTCACACTTCCCGAAAGGTCAAATGCGAGGTCGTTTATTATTGTCATCGTGCTGGAATTCGCCAGGCGTCTTTAATGGCGTTCATTTGTTTCTTC